CCCGAGCTAGCCGTTCTCCCTTGGGGAGGGGGTAAAGTTTACTATAGTTTATATAGGAAAATAACACTTTTGGGTTTATTTGGACAACTTTCTGTAGGAAATTATTTTTACTTGGTGAGAATTATCCTTGGAGAAAGATGGTTTCAAATTGAAAAATTGAGGTTCCTACCACAACTCCTGGGGCCAGGGCTGGGCCCCAAAGGGAAAATTAACCAATATTTCAAAAAATTTCTCCTCCAGACTCAGAGGTACTACAGTCATTTTCTCTGCATGGAAAGAAAATCATCAGGGGCTTTATTTAAATTGTAAATTTCAGGGCTCAGGGGTAAATTTCAGGACCCCTGAGCTATTCGTTCTCCCTTGGGGAGGGGGTAAAGTTTACTATAGCTTATTTAAGGAAATAACACTTTTGGGTATGTTTTATACATTTTCAGCAGAAAATTACTCAAACTTAGTCAGAATCATCTTTGGTGGATGAGGGTATTACATTGTAAAATTGGGATACCTGCCCTATCCCCAGGGGCTAGGGTGGGGCCCCAAAGGGAACATTTACCAATATTTTCAAATTCTTATCCTTTGATGACATGACAAGTATTGTATTTCACTTAGTTTACATGCTGATTTCCACATCACATATCTAAACAATGAAATAAAGTACCAGTACCTATGATATAACTCTGGTGATCGCTAAGTCCCTTGGGCCTCTTGTTATTTTCAAGTTGTCTTTCCAGATTGATATTATGATTATAAATAAAAACTAACATTGAAGTTGGTGAATATCGTTTATGAACTAACATTGAAGTTACTGATTATCAATAATGAACTAACATTGAAGTTACTGATTATCAGTAATGAACTAACATTTAAGTTGGTGAATATCGGTAATGAGCTAACATTGAAGTTAATGATTATCAGTAATGAGCTAACATTGAAGTTGGTGAATATCGTTAATGAACTAACATTGAAGTTAATGATTATCAGTAATGAGCTAACATTGAAGTTAATGATTATCAGTAATGAACTAACATTGAAGTTGGTGAATATCGTTAATGAACTAACATTGAAGTTACTGATTATCAGTAATTAACTAACATTGAAATAACTGATTATCAGTAATGAACTAACATTGAAGTTGGTGAATATATATTGAAGTTACTGATTACCATTAATGAGCTAATGTTGAATTTGATGATCATTGGTAGATAAAGTTGACCTATTGTAAATACAAAGCTTCATTTGCTATTTTGTTAAAATTCCTCTATTGACAGTGTGTTCCTGTATTGAGGCTGTTGGAGACGACACAACTCTCCTGACTGATAGCACCATAGAAAATTTCAAGAAAATTGACCGTTGTCTCAGGGTATTGGAGAATGTAAGCTGTTTTTCCCAGAAATGTCCTCTCAGAAAACAGTTGATAGCACGGCCAAATCAACACAATATCTTCATGATTTCGTTATATGTACAACATCTGATCAATTTGACAATTATTAATCAAAGTAATTGATAAAGTTCCATTTTTGACTTCTTTATTAGAGAATTCTTTTTGTGCTTTGAATATTTTATGCAATTTTAACATGAATGGTAAAAAGCTTCTAAATGATGATATTTGTTCAAATGAATGAAACAGCAAGTGATCATGATTGATAGGTAATATCTGACATAGTGTTGTCCTGATGATCGATTATATTCAATATCTAATCGGAAAGGCAACCCGATTCCAGACAATCGATTATGAGATGTCAACATCGATGATTGTTTTCAAAACCTGAAGTGCGAGTTCTACTTTCATTTTCATGTCATTTTACCCTTAACTAAAACTTCTTACCAATCGTGCTATTTAAATATAATTAATTGCAAAAAATATAAATGATAACTGTTCATCAATAAAGATTGTTACTTTGAAATGGTATGATAAAAAATAAAGATACGAAACTATGCGTGGTAAAGTTAGTATAAAATCAAAGTGGCAGCAAACTCTGCTACGGAGGAAAAAGGCCTAAAGGATTATGTTACAGTAGGCTAACTGATTAATAATTGAAAATTGATCAGTTGACACTAACCGATTATATCCAATCATCGATGTTGAAATCTCAACCGATTCCCAACACTTATCTGACAGAAAAATTTGGTCATGGTGTAAAAATATATCTTTTAGTCAAACATCATCAGCCATATTGGATTCTGACGGTTAAATCTTGAAATCACAGTTTCTCAAAACATCAACCAACCTTTCTGATATTTCTTATGTAGATTCTCCGTAGTTCTTTTTCATGTTCAATTTTGAGACTGATCGCAAGAACAAGATGGCTGCCAAGGTGGCCATCTCATATTTTGATATTTAAAAGAGATTGACATTTCAAATTCTCAGAAATACTGGACAGATCTTTCTCCAATTTCACAAGTTGATTCTTCTTGCGCTTTTTTTAAAAGTGAAAGTTGAACTGATTTTTGCAATAAAAGTTGGTTATAAAGACATAAAACCACATACAGCTGTGCCAAAGAAACTAGTAAAAGATTGATGTTATTTGTCCACACAAACATACACTCTAAAATTAATGTCTTTAAATCAAAATAGTATGTGACATATCTTACTGAAAACCTATGGTATGACTAATTTGGACTTTAAGTATAAACAAAGCTGCTGATGATCATTATCTCAATATGCAAAACACATGACTTGCAGTTCTTTATATCAGGGGAGATAACTTAAACAATTTTTTTTTCGTTTTCTAATTTGAATATATTTGTTTTTAAAAGTAAGATAAATATGTTTATGAATGGTTTGTTGATTTCCTGTTTCTTTTCAGGTAACATTTGTGAATACAGAAAACCAGACGTATTTGATAAGTTACAAACAAGGAGTTTTGGTTCAGTCAATATGCAGGTATGACGGTGTGCTTTGTATTTTTCATCTGAAACAGGCATATTTTATATTTATGCTGTAAAATAATGCACGATTCAAGAAAATATGTGATTTATATATTTATTTACAAAAACCTCACTCATGTGTTAATTGTCAATGCAGTCCTTTTTGGATATTAATTAAGTGCATTCATTACTCAAACAGATGGCTGCTTAGAAAACTTGTGGCCTATTCCATTTTATTCTCATTTAAATGAATTCCTTGTTGATGTGTGTCATTTGTGAGAAACGCGATAAAAAAGTACCGTAAAAACCCATGTAATTTGCGCACCTGTGTAATTTGCGCAGGTACTTTTTGAGGCTGAAAATCGGGGAAAAAGCTTCTACTCGAATATTTTGCACACCCAAAAAATCTGGAAAAAAAACGATGTTCATGCTCCGAAAATCGATCTCTGAATATTATTTTTTTTAAATATATTTCTATGATTTTTTTTTCATTGATGTAAAATGATATTTAAAACCAAGAAGAAACTACGTAAAATGTGTATTTAGTTGCTTGTTTTCTTTGAATAATCTGTTCACACATGACACACACGTGTGCGCATATCTGCATACATCAATTCATTTTAGCAATATTTTACATAAAACATTTACTTGCTTACAAAAACATGTCAATTAATAAGTAATTCGATGTTTAGTAACCGCTGGTGCATATCTCCTGGTGAAAGACATAATTAGATACCTTTTATTGATCATAATTACGATCAGTGAGAAGGGCTCATCATGGCGGCTTGGGTTACGTCACTTCAAACCAGGTCATATCACAGTTCAGTTTGGCCACGGAATTAGATTATCTAAGTCCGTGGTTTGGCGATATTTTTTACAAATTACAATGCAGTAATTAGCTAACACTATCTCTGTGATTACCCGTTAACAATAGCTCTACTAATTGAAATGATTTGCAGTCGCGATCGATGGACCGTGTTGTGTTTTTTTTCACTCACCAACACGCGTACGTGGCGTGAATTACGAAGCCCTACTGCATTGTCATAACAACAGACTGATTTGACTGATAACGGATTTAAAAAAATATGTTTATACTAGAAGCGTGGACAATCAATACATCCTCTTCAAACCTACTCCAAGGAAAAAAATAGTTAACGCAGACTATTTTTACGATGCTTCATTTAATAAATATTGAAATAATTCTCGAGGTTATTATCAATCACGTGTTTACGTAATGTTAGACGCGAGATCAACATGAAAGTGAGCCGG